ATTGAAAAGCATCTGAAGATGGCACTTTAGTGCTGAAACATGTAGTGCAAGAGAGAAGAGTAAGGTGAATAAATGTATGCACTGTAAGACAGTCACAATAAATCATGGACATAAATCAGTGCAACAGGACGCTAAAATATAACATTATATACTTATACTTTTGATACTCTAAGTAAATTTGACTTAACTCACTCTCTCATGTTACACATCTTACTTAACATATTCAATTCATTACGTCAATGAAATCTAGTTATTTATCATTCTTCCATACTTCATTTTATACTAAACTGCTGATACCACTATTCCATCTTTTGCATACAGCTTAAGAATAAAGCTCCTTTGATAGAACTCTTTATTTAAATATCTTCAAGATCCAACTTTTAACTTCAACGGAATTAGAAACTACCACGTATTCATCACGACATTCCCAGAAACCTTTCATCACATGCCCATCAATACAAGTACTGCGAATATAATTTATGATTTGCAGAAATGGGTATACTTTCTGTATAGCTGCTGAATATTGTACGTTGCTTTAAAATGTTCAAAGTTTGACCACAGCAGTAGCTGAATTATAATTTAAATTAAATTTAAATAATAAATAAAGATATTTAAGTGGTATCAGACTAAGAGAACAGACTATAAATAATTTACATTCCATAGATCGTTCACAGTACAAAACCAAGGATTTAAAATATGTAACTTATGGGACATGGTTCCTTATAACTGGCTATCTGTGACAGTACTTCGAAATATTTTGCTATAAGGAAAAATTGGCAGAGTTCGAAATCTCACTGGCCATAGTTTGTCCCGGTTCCGAACTTCAAATATGTACATTATTATTTCAAAAACATATGTTGTTTTACAGGTTAGGTTGGAGTTCAATGCACTTTTATGCTTCCTCTAGTTTCATATCAGTATGGGGAACATATAGAGTTTTTAAATATGCCTATATTAGTCCTTAAATACCACAAAAATGGACAGAAACCCACAAAAATTACAAACTGTCAATACATATATTTAAAAATTTACTTGTAACAGGTAGCCATTTCCACAGAACAACTGAGAAACGCAGTCAGAAAGCTCAGAAACCAATTAGCGTAACGTAACGTAAATTAGAAATTTAACTTTTTTTTTCTATTATGCTATCCTGGAAGTAACTTTTTTTATCGACATTTTCCATGGTCGGCTTAAGAATGAGCAGAGAAAACATTGCCTCTCCTTTCATAGCGTGACGACAAAAAGAATTAATAACCTAGGGGGATACAACTTAAATAAGGGAGAAGGAAACATCCAGTAAATTAAGTAATGAATTTCGCACATGTGCGTTAATTTTCTTCTGCGTAAGTGGACAGTCATCTATCCGCCGTTCATGGTCAGTGTCACACAAATGGTGAGGCGTGAAAAGTTTTTCTAAGCAATTTGCAATTACGTTAGCTTCTTCGATTGGATAAAATGCATGGCCTAAAGGACGATTATTTGCAGTTGTTGTCTTTTGCTCACCCCTCTTCATGAGGGATTTCGCAATAGGCCATATTGCTTGAGTCAGAGTCAGAGTTAGAATCACGTTGCAACTGACGGTCAGTCAGTCTGTCTGTCTGTCTTGGTGTCGAGCCCCAGCTGGGGCTCATGACCTCATGACCAGATATTTCTTTTGAATGAAAGTTACTGTCCTGTCCATGTGTAGCGCCCTCTCTGACGAGAGGTCGGGTCTGTCATTTGTTAGTCAGTCTGTATGGTCTGTATTAATAAGTCCACTGTCTGTATTTACACATATTTACAATACACACTTATTTCTTATTTAGTACAATATATACACGGCCTCTGTTAGTCCAGGCTAGGTACAGCAGATTATGCTGCAGCCGTAGACATTTTATTGTTGAAATTAAGGGTCACGTGGTCCGCCAGCCTCATACATTGCAATGTCGTGCTGTGACGTGCACGAAAACCAAACTGACTTGCGTTGAGCAGGCCTCTTTCTTCCATATGTTTACGGAGGAATTTCAAAATTAATTTTTCGAATAGTTTTCCTGTCGTGGACAGGATACTGATCGGACGTAAATTTTGAGGAAATTTCGGATCTGTACCCGGTTGAGGTAAAGTTATTATTTTTGCTTCCTTCCAAGTATTTGGAAAGTGAGAGAGCCGAAAACAGTGATTGAATAAGTGAATTAGGTGAACCAATGGTCGCCTTGGAAGGTGCCTGAGGCATTCATTTGGGATGCCGTCAATTCCACAGGCCTATATTGCTTGAGATGTGACCTTACATTTTTATATCTTCGTTTCCAACCATTCGAATGCCCTCTTCCGGGTCATTTTCCTAATAGTTTTAGCGAGTTTTAGCGATCCACTTCGCTGCTGTCTTGCATGCTGGATCCCGGGTCTCTTGACACAATTTCCTGAGCCTCTGCTCGTGCTTCGGTTGTATATCTAGGCCAGATGGGTCGTGATTACGATCTGAAGTTGTAATTATTTTTGTCGACAGCCTATATTCCGAAGCTATAGAGGTGGCAAAATCGCATGCTGCTTTATCAGCTTCTAATCATGAATTGATTTCGATTGTTTGGATAACTAAGGTAGAGACGAGGCTTTGAAACCTCTCCGAGTCTGTGATTTTTTCAATTGGCTCCAAAATTTCCTTAGCCTTGACATAATCAAGATGCAAAAACATGACAGATAGGTGATGTGAATCCAAGATTTCCCGCACGCTGACCTCTTGAGAGCCGGACATCCTTAAGGACCACAATGTGGAGAACATCACTTATCCCATCAGGAACGAAGTGGGTCGGATTTTGTGGCGCCGAAATTTCTCAATTGAAATTAGCAAATCAATCCAGAAACTTCAAACCGGAGGGATTTGAAACTTTACTGTTTCAAACAGGGTGCTCTACATTCAGATCACCTGCCAGAAGGGACTTCGTTCTAGGGTTTAAGAATTCTGTGATGTCTTCGTCTCTACACACTCAAAGTTGAGATTTATAAGCAGATGGAAGCAACATTTTAGTATGTCGAATCGGTGTGCAGATCTCCATTTCTTCTATTGAAAAGAGGTGAGGCAGGTCAACATAAGTATGAAGGATGCCTTTTCTTACTCCAACGTCAGTTCCGCCCTTATACCCACCTTGGTGATCATTCCGATACATGTGGTAATTTGGAAGGTAGAACTTCATACGCGGTTTAGGATGTGTCTCCGAGAAGGGGACCTCATTCTACTTTAGTTCTTGCATCTGTTTCCGAAGCTCATAGGCCTGTCTCCCAGTGACGCTGGCATTAAATGCCACAATTTTTAGAGGCCCATGAACCGTTACCACCATTACGTTTCAGCAGACTAAAAGCAGCTCTAGTAATAACTGAAACGTTTTCTTCTTCTGACGCGGCACCTGACAGCCTTGTCATAATCTTTGCTTTTGTTGTTGTTGTTGTTGTTAAACAAAAGTACTCGTATATACAGAATTTGCACTCAGTCAAATGATTAGAATCTGCCAGTCAGTTGTGCCTAAATCGTTTTTGATGGTGCTTTATTACCAGATAGTGACATAGATCACTACGTTATCTTTATAGAGGTAATAAATTTTGTTTTCAACGTGCAGTGGAAATCACAATCGGCATAAGAAAGATCTCGTGAGTTTTCCTACTCAAGGCATGACGTGCCTTCAACGATGTTTTAGACTAATATAAATTCAGTAGAGAGGCTTCTTACTTAATTTAAACTGAGAAGGCTAACAATGTCGGATTTGAATTTCTCACGGCGGCGATTATGATGGGTAGAGACTTCGGGGTTTAACAGCATGTAGAAGCAGAAGAAAGCAATAAGTTAAGCTCAGACTGTAGTCTGCTTCTGCTGATTTCTAGCTGTGTTTATTCTTAGACCCTGAAGATGGAGGCGATTTGTTCCTCCGAAACGTCGGACTCTCTTCAAACTACACGGCCAGAAGTCCGTACTCTTCAGTGTAAACAATGAACTGGTGGAACTGAGAAGAGTCCAGTAGTATGCGAACGGTAGTAGGCCCGAAGACCGAACGCGCGTAAGTATGAACAAGTGAATGTCGTGATCGATGATCCGTGATCGTCAAACGGGCAGAGATCCGTGACTTCGAATCGACGTGAACGACGTGAACGACGGTATCATGGAGACCCTGGAGGCGGACCAACGTTAGATAGGTCTGGCAATGGTTCATTAGGTTGGGCACATTTTCGGAACAGTACGTTTGATGTTACACTGACATGTACATTTAGGTGTCCGTTCAGGAATGCAGACAACTATTTTGTGCGCATACTTTCTCCCATGGGTATTGTTTGTTTTGCTCATTAATTCTCCTTGTGATTTATTAACTTTAATGATGCGATGCGAAAAATACTAGCTTAATAAACTTTTTCATTCTGTAATTTCCTTCATTCTCGTGTTACTTCGCCACTTGCTAAGTCCAAATATTCTGCTCAGGCCTGTTTTCGACTACTTTCTGTATCCTTTTGTCAGGCTAGGGGTCACATCAAGTCTTAGTGAAAAATACAAGCAAAATTTTATATTTTATTCCGAATCTTTATATTATATGGAACAGGAAATGCGAATAGTAGAATGGCACTCATAACTTTTGTCTGCTCTTAATTTTGCCATGACTAGTTACAATCTGACATTATTATTTGTGGTCTAATATTTTCCCAAACATTAAAAAGAAATTTTATGATTTAATACAACACTGATTTCGGTGTCAGTGTATTTATGCAGTTTTTGCAGAAATTTGAGCCAGTTGATCACGTGACGATACCCTCTATTGTGATTCGTCAATTTCAAGACTAGCGGAGATTTTAACGTTCTATGGGAGTGATAGTTGTAGCAGTTGCAGAGTGTTGCGGAAGCAGTGGTATGATCAGAAAGAAAGTGGAGTTATAGTTAAAAGGAAGCAGTAAATACTGTAGAGGATTGAATTGCCTTTGTCGTTATATCGAAAACATTACCGTCTTGTTTCATAAGCTACTAAATTCGCACTGATATTTCGTTATCTCAAGTTATAGACGACCGTTACACAGAGAACATGGCTACCTTTCGAATTAGTCAAGATCAAGAAAATCGTGGCCCAAACGTAAGGAAAACGCAGCAGGAACCTTCTCAGCAGCAAAGGAGAGCCGTTCTGGGCGTACTAAATAAAAACACGAATCGAGTTCCTTTGCAAAAGCCCCAACAAGTAAGTTAAATGTACCTGTACTGCTTTTCAGTACATGTAATTTAACAGCTGATTGTCAGGTTTCATTAACCTAAAGAAAATATGCCGAACTTATGATATTTTATTGTCTAAACTGCAATTCTATGGTATAAATGGTAAAGCTAAAAAATGGTTTGAATCATATCTTAACAATAGATATCAGAGAATTCAAGTTTGTGAAAAAGATTCTAATCAAACTACCCATTCTTCTTGGGGAAAAATAACTGATGGTGTTCCTCAAGGCTCGGTTTTGGGCCCGTTGCTGTTTCTCATTTATATCAACGATCTGCCCAAAATCGTAATTAACAATGCTGTATCCATTTTGTTTGCCGACTCTACAAGCGTACTAATTAAAGGTTCAAATTCAGAAAATCTCCATATTAATATGATTAATGTTTTTAATCATTTATATAATTGGTTTAGGACAAATTTGCTTTCAATAAATATTAATAAAACTCGTAGTATTCAGTTTAAAACCAAAAATAAACTCACAACCGACGTAGATATTGTTTGTAACAATCGTCCAGTAACCACTGTGTCAAATATAAAGTTTCTTGGTATAAACATAATGGATACACTCAACTGGAGTTCACATGTGGAATGTATAAT